ATTTTAATTTAATTTTAGGTTTTATTTCTCATCATTAGGTTTCGAGACCAAGGTTGTAACTAATTAGTTCATTCATCTCACACTCTCAAGGGTTCACTACATTTCTGACATCGAAGTTGTATGACTGTTAGTCTTAGGTCTGCAAACAGAACTTCTGTGGAATTGGGTATACTTCATAATGATTTACCTCATCTTTTTTGCCTTTCTTCTTTCTCCTTATTTCATTGTCTGTTCCACACCCCTTTCTTCACCTCCCTTTCTCTCCTTCTCCTGTGGCTGTTTATTACTCACGGTGTTTGTTTCCCCATTTAGTTTTGTACTTTGAAATTGTAAACTCTTATTTCTCAAAACATTAACCTTTAGGCTTTGATTGAAGTGAACACACCCAAGAAATGGCATGCTTGTATTTCGTGTGAAACTCAGCACAGATTTAAGCTGCTTTGATGATAATTTCTCACATAAAATGTTTTCTTCTTTGCCACTTAGCAATAAGCTCTAATATCAGTAATTTTCCATGGGGTGGATTTATTCCCATCTATAGAGATAGTAGCCCATGGCATTCCAGTTATATGATTAAGTTCTCCAATTATCCAGTTAATTTAGAGTATGGATGGCATTCTGTCCACAGTAACTCAAACCAATACCAATCACAGTATCATTAGAATAACTATGCATTAAGGATAAATATGACTGTAAGATGAATGAAAGAAGCCAGATATAAACAAGTACCTTAGATTTATTTCATTCAAATGACATTCTAGAACTGGCCAGATTAACCTGCAGTATGAGCAAGCAGAGTGAACAGTGCCTCTGGCTGAGAAGAACTGCAAGGTCACCACTGGGACAATAGAAATGTCCTACAATGTGACAGGGTGACAATGCTTCCGTACCAAACTGTTAGCTTAGACACACTAAAAGTGGTACAGTTTATCATATTCAAATTGTTCCTCATTGAAGTTGATTTCAAAATGGTGCTATAATAAAAATATTAAATTATACATTTAATATCTATGTAGTCCTCTTTTATCTTAATCTTATTTGTATAAAATAGCCATTTAAATCCCTTTAGAATGAGGAACTCCAGAACTCAGAGTTGTAGTACTGATATCCATTTCAAAGGCCTGGGTCACTGATGGAGGTAGGCATACAGCTGCCATGGACAAGCCTGCACATGAGTCCTTGCTTGGGTGGCCATTCATTGTTGCTCATGAAAATTCACTTCTATGACTGAAGGCTATCTCTAAGTTAACACACTTCTAAGTAGCAGAAGGCCATTTGCGTAGTGCAGATCTTGGCATTATTTAGGTCGTTTTGACTGTTGTGTTTCTCCTGCAAGAACGTTAAGTAAGAAGTCGTGTTCACCTGTGTGTGGTAAAGGGCAAACGCTAGTGCAAGTGTGAAGTCACAGCGCAGCAAGTGTGAGTATGACTGCGCTCCAGCCTCTTCCAATATCGACTCTCCAGTCTTGCTTTGTATGATACTGAGTCTCTTCCGGCATTCTATGCAGTTCTTTTTTGCTATCATATTTTCAACTACAAGTAACTCTACTCTCCATTTTTAATTTGAACAATGTTGTATGTTAAATGTATTCTTCGAGAAGTCCATACATGTGTATGCTGCAAGAGAACATGCACTCCTACAATCTCTCTCCAACTTCTCCAGAACCAGTGCGCACATGTCCCCTCCAAATTTCATGTCTTCTACTATTTTTTAAAAAAAACAACTTACTGCCACCAGCTCCCCAGCTAGCTAACATCCTTTCAAGATAAAAATCCTGGAAAGGCTAGAGACAAAGGAAGACGTGGCCACATAGCGAAGGCTGTCTATGACCTTCCAGAGCCACCGACACGTCAAATGGAGAACACTTGAGGCACTGCACTATGATCTCGAACAGGGCTAGAGCATCACTATCATCACTCTCATTTAATATAGTGCCTTGGTAGAGAAAGCCGGCAAGGAACTAAAGATGCTACAATGGAAAAAGAAGCCAGAGCACCCCTATTTGCAGATAATGTGAATCTACATATAAGGGGCTGTAAAGCTTCCACCAGGAAATTCCAAGGTGGCAGATTACAAAGTTAACATACCAAAATCAGTAGTTACCTTTCTACACACCAAAATCAAACACACTGGAAAAGGAATCAATAGAACAATCCCATTCACAATAGCCTCAACCAGAAAGAAAAAGAAAAAAGAATTCCTTGGGATAAGCTTAACCAATTATCTGAAGTATCTATATAATGAATACTTTAAAATATTGAAGAAAGAAATTGAAGACACTAGGAGATAGAACTCCCATGTTCATGGATTAGTAAAATCAATACTGTAAAAAATAGCCATCCCACCGAAAGCGATCTATGGACTCAATGCCATTCCCATCAAATTCCAATGCAATTCTTCACAGAAATTTAAAAAAAAAAATCATATGGAAGCACAAAGGACTCCAGATAGTCAAAACAATTCTGAACCATAAAAAAACTTCCTGATGTATCACCATTCCTGACTTTAAGTTATACTATATATAGAGTCACGGGGCAGGGGGAGCAGAGGGGTGTATGGTGTAGGCACAAAAACAGACACATTCATCAAGAGAATAGAATTAAGGATCTAGATACGTGTCTATGGACCTACCACCACCTGACTTTTGTCAAATATGCTAGTAATACATGCTGGAGAAAAGACAGCATCTTCATGGTGCTGGGAAGACTGGGTATCTATCCATAAGTAGAAGAGTGAAACTTGATCCTTATCTCTCACGCTGAAGAAAAAATTCAATGCCAAATGGATCAACAATCTCAACATTCAATCTGAAACTGAAACATCAGAGAAAATAGTAAGATGCACACATCAGTGTGGGGTCAGGTAAGGACTTTCTGAACAGGAAGTAAGAAATGGAACAGACTATCAGCAAGTGGGGCTGCATGAAACTAAAAATCTCTGCACCACAAAGGAAACTATTAACTGACAAAAGAGGCACCCACAGAATGGGACAAAAATCTGTCTGCTATATATCTGACAGAGTATTAATGCCCAGAATATACAAAGAACTAAAAAAAAAAAAAAAAAGAAAATAATCAATCTAACTTTAAAAATGGGCTATGGAACTTAACAGAGAGCTCTAAAAAGAAGAAATACCAACAGGTAGAAAGTATTTTGTTTTGTTTTGCTTTTCAAGAGAAGGTATCACTGGGTAGCCCTGGCTGTCCTTGAACTCACCCTGTAGACCAGGCTGGTCTTGAACTCAGAGATTCACCTGCCTCTTCCTCCCAAGTGTTGGGATTAAAGGCCTATGGTACCACGCTCAGCGATAGGAAATATTTGTAGAAGTGTACAACATCCTAAGCCATCAGGAGAATGCAAATTAAAGCTATTCTCCAATTTTATCTTTACTTTCTTCATAGGATTTAATTCAGTTCAATTTCTTGGCTTTGTCTACTTTTCCCAGGGCTGTGGTCATTCCTGTGAAAAGTAGAAATCAATTAATTATTGATACCTGTTATTAGTGAGACAGGAAACTAATGGAAGATATTTATGAGCTAAGAAAAGTAGTGATACCTAGGACACTATTGGCTCACTAAAAACAAAAGCCTGAGTCCAGCTTCTGAGAGGGACCCAGAGGGCTTGGTAAGTAGATGAAGCCTAAGCAGAGCCTGAAAGGCAAATTAGGAGACATGCAAGAACCACCAAGAGTCTGTACAGTAAATGCCAGTCACGGAAGACAAAACGGGGAGCCTACCCCAGCACAGACTGCCCACCGGAAGGCAAGCTGGCTTCCCGGGATAGAAGGGTCTATTTCTTTCTGTGATTCAGAACTTTACAAGTCTTTTGGTAAAAATTACATTCATCTTTCCAACTAAGATACTTTCAAAGTTGGAAATATCATTTATACTTGTCCCCATGCCACCTCTTTTGACTTCAGGCTCTGTGGTTTTCGGTGTGATACAGAATCACTCAAATATGCTGCTAGGCAGACAAAGTCTATGCTTTCAGATAAACTTACTGGCCAAGAAGGATTTGACAAAGTAGGCTTTCTGTTGTTTTTGGATCTAGTTCAGAAATGACTAATGTTATACTGTGGCAGCTAGAAAGATAGGGACAGGAAAAATATAATTAAACACTTCCACTATAGTTCTTAGGTACAAATGATGACCATGCTAGGCAAACGTTCCTGTCCTAACACTTGCTATCCGTGGCTCTGACTTTTCGCTACCTGTGATTGGTCTTAGATGCAAAGAATATTATCAAAATTCACAGTGAGGTACAGGGTGATGTTCAAGCATGGATACAGTCTTCAAAAGCATGTTTTCTAAGAATCTCACGATTCTATATGTCAATGGTGGAGATAAGTAAAACTTTGAGGTTTACAAACAAAACGATATAGTTAAAGAATTTGAAAGATCCAACAAAATCACAGCCTCTGGATCGCTATGAAAATTTAGCTCTGTGTTATAAGTCAGGCTCCTCTTATGATCAGCTCATGAACCTTTTAATCACACATGATTCTGTTGTAAGTGCCACTACTGTTATGACTACTTAAAGCTCAATACTTAACTTGGTTTGTCTAACCTGTATGCTCATCCAAACATATAGTGAAAACTTAAGAACTCAGTATCAGAAGATTCTTCCCTTAAAAAGCAAACATTTTTAAGCAGAAAATAAATTGCTATGTATACTGTATTACATAAATATTATACAGCCCTAAAATTGAGTTTCTTTGTAAAGTTTTCCCCTTTAATTTGAATCACAAAACATTTAAAGGGTTAGGGGTTAAATACACCCGTGGTTAAATACGAGGAAGTGAGTCCAATTTGCAGACCTGTATATAAAATGCATGTTATATTTTTCAAACCATTATTTTCAATTATTATTTAATACACAAAACACACAGCTCCAGAAACGCTTTTCAGGGAATAGGAAGTTAATAAGATGTGTAGAATATTTAATTTCACACACTGAGCAAGAAAGTACAGATAAGCAGATTTTTCTGCCAAAACACAAACCTTAAGGAAACGGTTGTTATTGTTATTGCAGTTGCCAGACATTCCTTGCAATTCAGCCACAGTGTTCTAAAATGTTGATAGAAACAATTAGAGAAGGCTTCCGCCTAACCCCAAGATAGCAGGGTAGAAAAACCTCAAGGTTCAAGTGGTGGCTAGACCACACACTGCCCAGGACCAAGAAGACACTAAGGTAGCTGCACCCTCAGTTCCCCAGATCACAGACACAGGATTATGTCTCTCTGCATTGTTACGATCACAGTACTAAAAGGCTAGCAACAAACATTGCTATCTGTTGCTCACATAGAGCAAGCTGTTTCCAACCAGCAACAGCAAATAGCCTGAGTTAAACTCAGCATTAGCCTATAATGTTTCCCCCACAAAAATGACTTTCATGAACATTTTTTAATACTTATGCAACCACAGTTTCTATTACAGTTTTGCTTCCAATTGTTACATGTTAACAGAAGCAATAAGAACAAATATTCCGGTGGGTAGCTGCTTTAAATTGCATACAATACCTGAAAAGATTCTAAGAGACAAAATGTCACAATATTATTAGAATATGAATTTCTTGTAACAAAAACAAATCATAAAAGAATAAGTTGTATTTTAAGAGAGAGAGCTTTGTTTTCTGGTGACGGTTGATCATGTTATAATCTGTTGCCTAAAGAGAGGTTGAAATGTCATTTGTGATAAACAACTTTACAATGTGATAAATACTCCATTATCAAAGGATTTTTAAGGAAGTAAAATAATCAAATAATGTTAAAAAGTACTTGCAAATTGACTCCTTTTAACTTCAGTGTGACCGTATCTATTTTCTGAACCAAAGAGACTCAACTGCAGTTAATATTGTTTCCAGCCTGAGCACACAGCACTTCAAACTACATAATGTTCTTGTGCAGAAATATAGCCAAAAATATGAACACAATCCATAAAATAAATAACAGAACAATATCACCTAACCACTACCAGCTGAATGTTGATAGTTACAGATTATAATGGGAGATTAAAATGTTGTTAAATTCTACTTGAAAATTTTACCATACACTCAGAGTTTCATGGTATGGTGTTGACTGAGGGATTTATTGAGTCTTCCATGGTTACCTTTTAAATTGGAAAGAAAGAGAAAGAAAGGAAGGAGGGAGGGAGGGAGAGGAAAAAAGTCCCAGTGAGCATAATAGTTCTCTTAAGCCCAGAAATGTGATCACTGATTGCAGATGTGCATGTGTGTGAACCGTTCAGCCTTCAGATTTCCATCTCCTGCTCTTTGGGGGACCCCTCCTATTCTTTGGCCTCTAGGCAGGGCCACTTGTGCTTTTCCAAATTAGAATAGTTAACAGAGAGTGCAGACACAGGAATGCACATTCAAACAGAATTGGCTGTTTGCTTATTGGAAACTCTTCTAGTTTAAATATTTGGAGAAAAGCAGAAGCAGCAGAAATTTAAATAGTTTGAGGATTATCTATACATTTCAAATTCTATTAGAGCATGACTTATAATTTCCTAAAGCGTTACAGCAGATGAACAGAGGCGTAAGTAATACATGACAATCTCTCCTTTCACAAAGGGCCAGTGTCCTTTAACAACTGCAGGAAATATTTCTCACATCCAGATGTTTCCTGTATAGCCAATTCAAGCAACCTGTCAACGTGATGGCTCCAAGTTAAAATGAACCCTGCATAATTTGATCAAAACCAGAAGGACTGCACCCTTCTGTGGGCAACACTCATCTCAGCCCTCGATTGGGAAGGAGCTAGTGGACCGTGGTTGCTCTTTGTGTAATCAGAGGGTCTTCTGGCTGTGTCCAGGCAAGGTCACAGGAGATATTAGCAAATAAAATGATCCTAAATTGGAAATTACAAGATGATTCTGTGAATTACAGCAGAGGTGAAAAGCCCTGTGACTGACTGTACATATTCAGGCCTGTCCTAACAAAGATACACAAATCAATAAACTGCTCAATTATATATGAAATTAAATCAATTATTCAAGGTCCATCTATCCACTGGATATCCAATATTGGTCCTTCTCATTTCCCTCACATCTTGGTCATTTTACTTTTCATTAACAGAGGAAAAGAGTAAACAGAAAACAGAGATAACACTCCAATCCTCCAACTTAATATTTGGTAGCATTAATTAAAAATCTGAATCAAGTGCCAACATTGGAAACTCTAACAGTGGAGTAAATTTTCATTGTTTGTACAGCTTTCATCTCTCCTGTGAACAGAAAATTAATGGCTGCTTTTGCCTGAGCCTGCTGTGGGAAGGCACTGTGGAACACTGAGAAAGGAGAACACTGTAAGGAATGCACAAAGGAAGTCTGACTTCAAGGAAGTCAATGTTACTTGCATTAACACAGTAGCCAGCTTCGGAATTCGACAGTTACAACTCATAAAAGGAAGAGAACCTTCAACTCAATCCTTGTTGTAAAACATTTCTGTATCAATTAATCTTCTCTTTAGACTCTATGTAGATGACACATACACATTGCTGCCTACAGTCAAGCAAGTTTTCAATGTCCCTATTATTAGAAGCACAGAACAAAGGCTCACAGACCTGAAGAATGACAAGAAATGCCATCACTCAAAACAAGAATCCTCTTAACACCTTTTGTTGCCCAGTTATCCTGTGTCTGAATAGAGACAGAGCCATGAGAGGTGTCCTGTGTGCTCCACTCAAAAACAGCCCAGTGCATTGTGGGGCTCGGGTTCGGGGCCAGGGGGAGAGCACGGGTCTGAAATCTGCAAACCACTAGCTGAACGGTGAGAAAAAACCTTGGTTACTGGATTTGTAAGGGGAAAAATATCTCTCTAGGGCTTTAAAGGTTCGGTGAGACTGACTCCTAGAAAAGTTTATGATCACAGTTTTACTCACTCTTTTCCCCAAAAAATACATGCTCAAGTGCCAATGAACTCTATTTGCTTTTCTCAAATAAATATGTAAATAAAATCCACACACCAAGCAGAAACTTGGTATGAGACATGTTCCTAAGTATAACTGTTCAGCAGATTCTTTCATTTATTCAAATTATAAAATTAGGAGAAAATCATTTTCCTTCTCCCCCCTTTCTTTTCCCCTCTTCTCTGTCTTCCCTCCTTCTTCCTCTCCTCCCTCCTTCCCTCTCTCTGCCTCTTACACACACACACGGGAAGGGGGGAGAAAGGGGAGAGAGAGACAGAGACAGAGACACAGAGAGAGAGAAAGAGAGACAGAGACACACAGAGAGAAAGAGAGACAGACAGACTTTAGAAGCTCATGTTGAAACTTTCAGGGGGCTAAATGTGATCAACCAGTTCCTCAAAGTACCTGGAAGAAACATGATCTTAGATACACAACTTTTACTGGAGGAGCTTTAAAATGACTGGATTATCTTAGTGCCCCTCTCTTACTTGGAGACTTAGTCTTAACTTAACTAAAGTTAAACACAGGGAAACAAAACACAATCAGCACCTTATCAGGCAGACTTTGACTCAAGCTCTTCAGGTCTCCTGCCTGTGCTTCCCCAGGGCTGGGCTGCTCTGCAGGCTCCCACACCCAGGCCTCGTGGGATGATTAGTGAGTGCGGACCCTTAGCCACTAGCAGGAGTTCTGAGATGCAGTCCAACCCCTGTAGAGCCAAGGACACAGTGGTACCCAGCCTTACTGGGCCTCTTCTTTCTCCACCACCTGATGTCTCCATAGTCCTCAGACTTTCAGGTACAAAAAACTCTTTTATCAGAGTAGAGAGGAAAAAATCTAAACCTGTAGAAAGCGACTCTCTAATCCTACAGCAGGCTTACAGCCTAGATGCCTCTAATAAAGCATAAAACACCAGAGTAGGGAATTGAAAACTAGGCCAAATATTTGAGGAGATCATGTGTTTAGTTTCAAAATCTTAGATAATATGTTTTTAGACTTGGTATCCCAGTACAATAAGAAAATTCTTGCCAAAAATACTCCACAAGTGCAAAATGAAATGGAGGACATAACTCTAAGAGACAATTTTAGTCATGGACAATGTCTCCACTATATTTTTCTTTGATCGAAACTTAATTGATGCCAAGTATGGTGGCTCACACTTGTAATCCCAGAAGCAGGGAAAATGACGGCGAAAGGTTGCTATGAGTTCAAAGACAACCTGGGCCAGCTTGCACATAGTGAGAACCTGTCTCAAGAAACAAACAAAAATAGAACAAAACAAAATATTAATTGATATGCAACCTGCAATTCTGTAATATAACAAATGGAGAATGTGCTCTCATTATACCACAAACACATGAAAATTTAATATACATTCAGGTTAAGACATGGTAAATGAAATATACATGAAAAAGACCTCAATGTCCACTCATTAATCTCTTTCTGTGTCCTAGATGAAAGCAAAACCATAGTCTGGATAAATAACATATTCAGATGTGCACAAGTTAAAGGTCTGAAATCTCACTGTGCCATGTCAGCTGACATAAAGAATATTTATTTTATCTGAGCATTTACACGTTTATGAAGTATGAAATACTACAACTAAACTGTTGATGAATCTTTTGACACGCCAATATGAAACATGCGCATACTTGAATGTGTTTGTAATAAGTGTGTTGTCCCAGCCCATCAGTGTGCACTTGGCATTGACATTAGAAACAGGCCAGCGTCTGTGTCTCATTACAGCACACAAAGGTTCCGGAGAGCCGTGTTCACTGGGGGGTTAGTGTTGACTCATTTACTTGATCTTCTGCAGAGCTCAGGATGTAAGATCATTCCAATATGTACCTGTGCCATGGGACATGGACTAGTGAAAATGCTCTGCTCTGCGTTATGTTAGCACAGATCCCTCTGAGCACATCCAAAAAACTTTCTCTTCCTGGGGTGAGGGGGAGCCTCTGGAGAACCTCAGTCATCTCCGGTGCTTCTCTCTCTCTCTCTCTCTCTCTCTCTCTCTCTCTCTCTCTCTCTCTCTCTCTCTGTGTGTGTGTGTGTGTGTGTGTGTGTATGTGTGTGTTCGTTTAAATGTTTTACTGGTTCTTCCAAAGGGAAAAAGTATTACATACTATTTTAGAACATTTGGAAACGATCGAAAACATATAAAGCAGAAAAAAAAAAAAAACATCTAATTCCAATATTACAGACAGCCATAATTTATATGGGTTCTGCTTGTTTCTATGAATTGCTTTTCAATGGTGTGTTAAAAGTTAAGACTGATTTGCCTGCACAGTGTTCCAGATACCATGAATCAATTTATAAGAGAATATCAGGTACAAGTGGTATTTCTTTCCCAAGAGGTCCTATTTCAGCTCAGTGTAGACCACATCCTTAGGAAACTGCAAAGAGCCTGTGATGCCGGAGCACCATGGTGAGAAGTTCAGGAAGAAACAGTTGTGGTCCCTACCTCATCATCATCAGCATCGTACTGGGCATAGTGGCGCTCGAGCAGCTCCCTCTGGCGCCTCTCCTGTTCCAGGGTCTGGCTTATCAACTGGGCAACCTCACTCACTTGGCCTGGTTTTTCTCGCCCAATAACGAACCTGTGGAAAGGTTAACAGAGGGTAATATAGTCACAATTAGCCAGCTAAGGAGAGTGGCCACACTCAAGCCAGAGCAAAGTCTATTTTGACTGAAAAGTACTATGACCCATGTACTTCATATAGCTAAGAGATGACAGGTTTACTCAGCTAGGGAAGCAACGTTCCACACACAGCTAAGCTAAGAAAAAGAAAGGTGAAAATAGAGGACCATCCACAAAGAATTAACACTCTCATGAAAGTCATCACAGATGCAATCTCTCCTGCGGTACTTGACACATTTTGATGACTTAAGAAATGGAGGCTAGCACATTGTCTCCTGGACCTGAGGATCTAAAACATTTCCATAAAAATGTCCCATAATATTGCAAAAACTGTTTGGAAAACATTTTGCAGGAGACCCTTGCACTGGGTGGCTTGTGAAGGGACACTGACTTTTGCTGAATTACTAAGACTTTGGTGACAAGGAGGAGAAATAGAGGGGTTTTGTTGTAATCTGATTTAAAGAAAAAAATTCTAGAAAAAGGTGGTATACTAACCCAAGGGGTGTGTGTGTGTGTGTGTGTGTGTGTGTGTGTGTGAAGATGTTAGAAAGACCGTGGTTCAAGAAACAATGGGAAAACATCTGTTGATATGAATTTGTATAAGATGCTAAATTAAAAGAAATTAACTGGAAAAACACTAACTTTCTGTAAGCCACATCATTTATGATCAGCCCTTGTCAGTATAATATGTTTTATTTAACATGGTATATCCTTTCACATTAATATATGATTCTAGTTTTCCAAAATGAAAATAATGTCTATGGTATATGGTTTCTAAATATCACTTAGCATTATTTTAAATGTGATACTTACTCCTTTTTACACTTAATTGATAAATACCCCTTGCCTATAGGATGTTTCATTCAATCTTAAACCACATGGATCACCATTTTCTGCATAAAGACACTGAAGACAAATTTTTTTTGTTCTTAGCTGTTTCTAGTTAATTGCCTTTCCAAAGCACTTTCACATAGTATCAAACAAGACTTGGCTTGGAATTAAGTTCAGATGTTCCTTATCTCAACAACATTTGGGAGTTAAGTATAAAAAAGATCCTATTGATTTTCTTTGTCAAGTAAAATTCATATTCAGTAAGACACATCTATTTTCAATGTTTGGTTCAGTTAGAATGACAAGCACATAGGCTTGTGATCACTATATCAATGAAAATATGGGATCCTCTACCAACCAAAGCATTTCCTCACATTGCTTTATAGAAAATCTCATCACTCTGGTTCCACACTAATCTTCTGTAGTTTCACTTAATGGAACTGCGTGTCCAGTGAATGGGATATACATTTGGCAGATGTGTTCTTCTATTGAGGGTTCTAAAATTTAGGTGGATTTTAGATATTATGCATCAAGTTACTATCAACATTTTAATGTGAGCCTTTATAGACATGTTTTCATTCTCCTTTAACTAATAATTAATAATGAAGTTGAGTCAGACGGTAAATGCATGTGTAAATTTTCACAGAGTTGCCCACTTGTCTTCTGAAGAAGTGGGGACATTCCATTGTCTCTTCACAATGCACGAGATCCATACCTGCTGCACAGCTTCACCAATAGCCGGGGCAGCAGTGCTTTGAAGCATCAGCCATTTTGGTGGTTTATCTGCTGGTATCAATGCTCTCAGGACAATGATATAATCATTCACATTTTACCATTCATAAGTCTTTTATGGAAAATTTTTTTAAAAGATTTATTTGTTTATTATGTATACAGGAGAGGATGCCAGATCTCATTACAGATGGGTATGAGTCACCATGTGGGTGCTGGGAATTGAACTCAGGACCTCTGGAAGAGCAGTCGGTGCTCTTAACCTCTGAGCCATCTCTCCAGTCCCACGGAAAATTTTTTTCAAAAGTTTTGTCCACTTTCAAAAATTAAGTTGTTTATTTTTATGATTTTGGTAAAAAAATGACTGTTAATATGTTTTGGTACATATTCTTGTCTATGTAGCTTGCAGATATGTATATATACACAAAATGTACATCTATATATTTCTGTGTTTAATCTACTATACTCTACCAGTTTATGCTGTCCCATCTCAGCTTTGCAAATTATATCTCTGATTTTTTTTTAAAACTATCATCAGTATTTCTGCTTCAACAGATGACCATCTACAAAATCATGTGGAGATGAATTCACACTTACTATGTGATGGAGTTGTCAAATATTTTCAGCATCTATTTTTCAACACAATAATAGATATACACCTGCTAATGGCATACTGAGTAGATTTTAATGATAAACTGTTGAATCACACACAAAAAATATGATATCTTTCAATGAATTCTAATTCCTAAATTTTTCCCCTCCTTTCTTATTAAATCATTTTTCCTTCTTTTTTCTTTAATTTAAAATTTCTTCTTAAAGTTAAATTTAATTTTTAGGCATAAAGTGTTACAAGGGGTGGTTTCTTTCTTTCCAAACAGCTAGTGATTTCAACACCATTTGTTAAAGTCTATTCTTTTCAGACACTGAATTACTTGACTACACTGTGGCAAATTAGTTAATTCTATGTTTGTGGGATGATTTTGGACTTTGCAGTCTGTTCCACTGAGATGTGTTTACAATTCCACCAATACAACACTTCTATGACTATCATATAGTAAATCTTGAAACTAGATGATGAGTTCTTGACCTCTGCGTGTCTTTCCTCTGCATTTGCATATAGACTTTATAATCAGCTGGCCACTTTCTCCAGGAAAGCACACCAGGTTTCATCTGGAATTGCTTTGAAAAGGCATCTTGACAATATGAGCTTATCTGATCCATAAACATGGGACATCTCAATCTTTAATCATTACTTTCTCAGGTCACAGGCCTTCAGAAATTTTTGTTTTATCTCCAAGTAGTTTGTGTTTTCTGTGGTAAGTGTGATATTATTTTTTAAATTTTAGAATGCTGAAATGCAATTGAATCATAAATCCTGGCCTTGTCTTCTGTAATCCAGCTAAAGTCAATTACTATTTCGATGAGCGTTCTGTGGATACCTTAGCATTTTAAAATCAGACTGCGTCCACCATCGAGAAACTCATTGTGCCTTCCTCCCTCCCTCTTCTGTGTCCGACCGCATATACTAGGAAGGGCTGACGGCATCTTTGCATTGTTTCCTCTTCTTTTTGTTTAGATTTATTATTTTAAAGTATTTATTTATTTATTATGTTTACAGTGTTCTGCTTGCATGTATTTCTGCAAGCCAGAAGAGGGCACCAGATCTCATTACAGATGGTTGTGAGCCACAATGTGGTTGCTGGGAATTGAACTCAGGACCTTTGGAAGGACAGTCAGTGCTCTTAAATGCTGAGCCATTTTTCCAGCCCTTGTTTCCTATTCTAAAATGAGAACTCTGAATTGCTGAGAGATGCACAGGATGATGTAACTAAAGTTATTATAGTCTCTACGATAAGATACTTAAAGTCTTCAGTGTGTTAAATTAATCTTGATAATTGAATTCATTATGTTTTGATAAATATGTTTATCAGAAATTGTGTCTCACATTACACATATAAAGAAAATTTTAAAACCCTCATGTCCTAGAACAGCTGTTGTAGACAAACCTACCCTGGCCTTTTATGTGTGTTTTAAAAAGATTGGTTTATTTTATGTGTTTGAATGTTATTTATGCATATATGTCTGTGCACTGTGTATGTGCCTGTTGCCCACAGGAGCCAGAAGATCAGATTCCGTGGAACTGTAGTTATGGGTGGTTATAAGTCATCACGTGGGTGCTGAGAAGTAAACCCCAGTCCTCTGGAGGAGCATCAATTACTCTTTGTTGTGGAATATTTAACTATGCAAAGATGTGCTGCATTTGTTTAATTATATAAGGATGTGTTGCTGTTTTACCTTGCCTGCCTAAGGCACCTGACTGATCTAGTAAAAAGCTGAATGGCTAATAGTAAGAGAGGAGGTATAGGCGGAACTTCTAGGCAGGAAGAGGAAGTAGGAGGAATTTAGGCTTGGGAAGAAAAAAGAAAAGGAGACAACAGGGAGACACAGGGACCAGCGACCCAGACATGGAGAAAAGCAGAATGAAAGAAAGGCAAAAAGCTCTGAGGCAAAATGTAGATGAATAGAAAGAGGTTAAATTAAAAGAACTAGAGGGACAAGTCTAAGCTAAGACTGAGCATTCATAATTAATAATAAGTCTCCATGTCTTTATTTGGGAGCTGGTTGGTGGCCCAAAGAAAAAGCCAACTACAAATGGCGTCCAACGGTGGGGGGGCAGTGACACAAAGGAAAAGGACTGTGGAGCTTGGCCAATACAAGGTGGGATGGTCCCTCACAATTCCTGCTTCACAGAGAAGTATATCAGATAGCTTAGGCCTGTAGGCCAAAGACGGATGCTCCAATGGGGCAGAGGAACCTTGGGTGACTGTCCAAGCAGCCAGCTGCTTCCATCATGTCTATAGTTTTGGAAGCTATTTGCTCTGCACTTCCTATTTACTCCAGTAATATTATATCTTTCTCAGGTCTCTGATGGAGTTGAAGATGAGATAGTTATAGTTTTCCTTATTACTAAATTCAGAAAAGAAATGTACTTTAGAGATGTAATTTATAAGGCTGAGGAACATAAAAGCTTAAATTGTTTATCTAAGAAAATATTTTAAGGTCTAAAAAGATAATTTTGTGTTGGTAATAAAAGTTAAGATAGAAAGCAAATTAGGTACTCAACTTTAGATTCACCAAGGTAGGATACATAATGGAGTATTTTCTCTGAATTTTCCATATGCAAATGGACTGGATATTGTAAATGTAATTCTTATTTTATAATTATTCTTATTGTATGTAGTATTAATATGTTAAAGCTAAAACCTTTCTTTTTATTTATACAAAAAGGAGGAAATGTTGCAGAATATTTAACTATGCAAAGATGTGTTGAAGTTGTTTAACTATGTAAAGATGTACTGCATGTGTTTATGTTGTGGAATATTTGTTGAACTATGTAAA